TTTAATACTTTAATAGATATTTGAAAAAGGAGCACATGAATTGGGAGAAAGTAATCTATACTTATTTTGTCCTTAAATAATGAAAACTACATACAAATATTGTTGGGCGATGAATGCCTAACTTCCCTGCGGGGCAATGCATAACTTCTCCAATCTTGGGATCGGATTGTACACCATCATCTTTATTTCTCTCCCACAGTGATTTTCATGTTACTTGCTTTTTTTTCTTTTCTTTTTTCTTTTAATCGTTTTGTTAGGAGCTCATACAACGCTTATCACAATCCATCCATACATCAATTGTGTAAAGCACATTTGTACGTTCATTGCCCTCATCATTCTCAAAACATTTGCTCTCCACTTAAGCCCCTGGCATCAGGTCCTCATTTTCCCCCTCCCTCCCCATTTCCCCCTCCCTCTTGAGCCCTTGATAATTTATAAATTATTATTTTGTCATATCTTGCCCTGTCCGACGTCTCCCCTCACCCACTTTTCTGTTGTCCATCCACTAAGGAGGAGATCACATGTAGCTCCTTGTAATCGGTTCCCCCTTTGCATCCCACTCTCCTTCTACGCTCCCAGCATCGCCACTCACACTACTGGTCCTGAAGGGATCATCCGTCCTGGATTCCCTGTGTTTCCAGTTCCTATCTGTACCAGTGTACACCCTCTGGTCTAGCCAGACTTACAAGGTAAAATTCGGATCATGATAGTTGGGAGGAGGAGGAAGCATTTAGGAACTAGAAGAAAATTGTATTTTTCATCGTTGCTACATCACACCCTGACTGGCTTGTCTCCTCCCCGAGACCCCTCTGCAAGGCTCCAGTGCAAGGATCTCCAGTGGCCTACAAAGGGGCTTTGGGTCTCCAGTGGCCTACAAATGGGCTTTGGGTCTCCACTCCACACTTCCCACCCTCATTCACTATGGTAAGATTTTTTTATTCTAATGATGCCTTATACCTGATCCCTTCTACACCTCGTGATTGCACAGGCTGGTGTGTTTCTTCCATGTGGGCTTTGTTCCTTCTGAGCTAGATGGCCACTTGTTTACCTTCAAGCCTTTAAGATCCCAAGTGCTATACCTTTTGATAGCCAGGCACCATCAACTTTCTTCGCCACATTTGCTTGTGCACCCATTTGTCTTCAGTGATCATATCATGGAGGTGAGCACACAATGATATGTTTTTTTGTTCTTTGATGCCTGATAACTGATCCCTTTGGCACCTCGTGATCACACAGGCTGGTGTGCTTCTTCCATGTGGGCTTTGTTGCTGCTGAGTTAGATGGCCGCTTGTTTACCTTCAAGCTTTTAAGACCTCAGCTTTCTTCACCACATTTGCTCATTTACCTGCTTTGTCTTCAGCGGTTTTGTCAGGAAGGTGAGCATCATAGAATGCCAATTTAATAGAAGAAAGTAATCTTGCATTGAGGGAGTACTTGATTGGAGGCCCAATGTCCTTCTGCTACCTTAATACTAAGCCTATAAATATATGCACATAGATCTATTTCCCCATCCTCATATAAAATACATTTGCATATGCACATGCCTTTATCTGCTTTTTTATCTCACCAATCACCTAGCCCTTGATAAGGTATGGCAAAGTATTTACACGTAAACTACCTTCAGCTAAAAGTTCCAGCTGTACCGAAGGAATGCCAAGAATCCCTGTGTTTTCCTGTAAAATCATTGCTATTGAGTTTACTGAGACTCTTAGCAACCATAAAAGAAATGTAGAAAGCCCAAGGCACCCCACAGAAACAATATGATGCCTGGGAATATCTCTTAGCACAGTATGAACTCCAGAGACTTTAGGTTCTGTCCACAAACAACTCTCTGATGGTGCTATTGAGTGAGCGTTGGATTCACTCACTCACTCAGTGTGACCCTGTAGGATAGGGTAGCACTTGTGGGTTTCTGGGACTGTAACTGTTTACCAGAATAGAAAGCCTTATTTTGGTCTCACAACTGTTGGTAGTTTCCAACCCATACCTTGAGGTTAGCAGTCCAAAATGTAGCCCCTACACCAACAGGGATCCTAAGCACTGGACGACTAAGGCCAATATCAGCAGTTCAAACTCACCAGTAACTTCGTGGGAAAAAGATAAAGCTTTCTGCTCCCATAAAACTTTACAGGTTTGGAGACCCTACATAGGGTTGCTATGATTTGGAATCAATTCATAGTAGTGGGTTTATCTTTTTTTATTTTGTTTAACTCCCACTGCACAAAACAAACAGTACAACATCACTACCACTCCACAAAAACGGCACAGTGGACCCTTGCCTTCATGCGACACTAAAAGGCAAAAGCATATCAGGCAGCGAGGCAACACTCTCCCTCTAATTTGCATCAGTGATACCAAACAGGAAGAAAGCCGTTGAAACAAGGACTCCAAAATGTGCAAGAGCCAATTATCTTCCAGTCTGGAGGGAATTGTCACTCAGTAGGAGGGACCTCAGGGAAGTTTGAAAGAAAAGAAAAACTACTGATGTCCAGACTTTGGCTTATCAAAGTTTTGGTCTCTCAGTCTCAGAGGACACCACTCTACGTCATAAAGCCACTGTTCTAAATAGGACTTCGGTGAACACTGCCTGGGGTCTTAAAGACTCATGGGCAGTCATCTCTGGTGCAACTAATGGTCTGGCCCCATCCAGAGAAAAGAAGAGTGATGAAAATTGAAAGAGACGTGGAAACAAGAATGCGAGTGTGCCTGACGGTGCCTGACTACTTCTACTGCCAACTTCTCTGAAAGGGATCTCGCTGAAAGACGCTCAACAGAGTGAGAGGAAGATGTGGAACAGAACTCAAAACCAGAGAAGTCTTACTGCTCAGATAAGAGATTGATGAGACTCCAACACTCAGTCACCCTTCACGTCTGAAATGGAACTCCCCCCATGTTAGAACAATCAAGCATTTACAAACAAAAGGGCAGTATTGGCTATGAACTGTTGAATGTAAAACTTATGATCTACTTTGTATACCTTCATCTTATTCACAATAAAAATGTTTTGGTTTGTTTTTTAGTGTAAGAAAATATGGATAAATATCTACTTGGTGAAAACCCAAAACAAAATATGAAGTGTTGGTATTTAGAACCCACCAGAGAATTAACAGCCCAGTTAGAGACAAGCTATGTACTCTCAAATCAGACAGTATACCCTTAACACCCTACATACTCAAAGCCTCTCCTGGAGACATTGATACATTTTTCAAGGCCCTATAATGAGTCATACACATATTAGGTACTATAACCAAAATCACATGTAATACCTATTCATAGCGACCCCGTAGAACAGGAGTTGATACTTGTGGTAGTCCCCTAATCTGGTGTCAATTTAAGGATTAAGAGTGTAGGGGTAGAGTCTAGGCTATCAATCTGGAGATAGCCAATGATACTTTAGTGTGGGCATGGCCTTCTCCTGAGAATTCTGGGAAATCAGGGACTTCCTCCTTGGAGACAGAAGTCACTTCTCTCTCTCTGCCACTCCCTGGGAGACATTGCAGAAGACAAGCCAACATGGATGCAACCAGACCTCTGAAGCCGGAGAAGCCACAGAGAGACTCCTGCCAGCTCTGAGATGCTTACAACACCACTGGACCCTAAGACTCTCTACCCACTGGCTTGTGATCGTCCTGCATTTGGCTTCATTGCATGTGGTTTGTGAGTCTGAAGAGGACTTTATAGATTGGTATCTGACATATGGACTCATATCAGACTTATGGCCTTGGACTGGACTGGGTTGGGATGTTTTCTCAATGATCAATTCCTCTTGTACATAAAACTCTTACTTATACACATATGTGTGTCCATGGATTTGTTTCTCTACTCTCCCCAGACTTACACAATACTATACTGAATAATTATTAGCTAAATCAGTATTTCCCAAAGTGGGAAATACTGCCCCATGGGAGTGCTGGGACCATCCAGGGGTGCTGCAAAAACAGATACCTACACTTTATCCTGGATTATGAGTTATAATAAAAACGTTTCAATTTCCAGAGGAGTGCTGAGGTTCCCCACACATACACACCCCCCAAAAGAGAGCAGTTGGCTAAATAAGTTTGGAAACCTATGAGCTAAATGACCAAAATCTACTATTAAGTAAAATATTCTCATTCATTGAGTTCATTTATTAAGAGTGGTCTTCCCTAATATCATCTGCTGAAGATTTCTGTTTGCCTTCCTCGGTAAGCTAGAAGTCAGTGTGCCTACCAACTTGAGAGTAAAATCCAGTCCTACACGTCCGTCTGGTGGCACACTTACCATTTGTTCTAAATCTGAGGACTCGCTATCAGAATGACCTCTCTCCTGATGACCCAGTGGTTGGTCCCATCAGCCATTCCATCAGAAAGAGACGTGGCCACCTAATTCTACAAATTCTAATTCTATAAAGCTTTACAGCCTTGGAATCCAGATGAAACAGTTCTCCTCTATCATCGGGCGGCTATGAACCTGAATCAGCTCAGTGGTAATGAGGGTTGTATTTCTTTATTGTCCTGGGATATAGCAATCTAGATTTTAAACTAAATATCTAGATTTGGATAGTACAAATGGTTAACTCAATTGGTTGCTAACCAAAAGTTGGGGTTTTGAGTCTGCTTGCAACAGTTCTCAACCTGTGGCTCGTGACCCCTTTGGGAGTCAAACGACCCTTTCACAGGGGTTGCCCGATTCATAGCAGTAGCAAAATTACAGTTATGAAGTAGCAACAAAAATAATTTTATGGTTTGGGGTCACCACAACATGAGGAACTGTATGAAAGGGTCACGGTATTAGGAAGGTTGAGAACCACCGGCTTAGAGTTATCTCAGAAGAAAGATCCCACAATCTACTTCAGACAAACCAGCCCCTGAATACACTGCGAAGGCAATTCTACTCTGACACACACAGGGCTGTCACACCTCAGAGTCAACTCAAAGACAATGGTTCCTCCTCTTCCCTCCCACTCCCGCCCCCCAAACAAGTGGTGTGGATTGTCTAACAGCAGTCTTTTTTTGTCTCACCTAGAACTTCCTCTTCATATGCACCTTCTGCACTGCTGCAGCCAATCTCACAGGATTCCCGCTGTGGGAGACAGGAAGGACAGCAGTTAGCAACGACTTGGAACTACTTTTACTAAGAATTAGCAACGGCAATTACATTTTGAATTCTGAATACAAGTCTACCCATACGTAAACCATGTCAACTCTAAAGAATGCTTGTGGGATTAGACCAGTACTTTTAAATAAATAAATAATGTTCCACCATTTTTTCAAAAAGCAATAAATATTCCATGTGCAACACAAGTGAAAAAAATAAAGATTTTAAAAATAGTACTTAACTTTTTGTTAACAGTACTTAACTATTTTAACAGCTTTAGGTTTAGTGTTGCCCTCTGTAGCACATACTTCTAGGGACGGGGTCAGTTTGGCTCTGATTGGGGCTGATCCTGTAGCCCACTCTGTGCATGAGTTGCTCCATGTATTTAACAGCTTTATGGAGACACTTTTCACAAACCATAAAATTTGCCCATTTACCTCCCCTCAAGTACTCCCTTGATGCAAGAACACGTTGTTGTACTAACACAGCACTCTGTGATGTACACCTTCCCTGACACAACTGCTGAAGATAAGTGGGTGCATAAGCAAATGTGGTGAAGAAAGCTGATGGTGTTCAGCTATCAAAAGATATAGTGTCTGGGGTCTTAAGGCTTGAAAATAAACAAGCAGCCATCTAGCTGAGAAGCAACAAAACCCATATGGACGAAGCATACCAGTCGGTGTGATCATAGGATCAGGTATCAGGCATCAAAGACCCAAAACAAAACAAAAAATCATATCAATGTGAATGAGGGGGAAGGCAGAGTGGAGACCCAAAGCCCATCAGTAGTTAATTGGACACCTGTCATAAGGGCCACAAGGAAGAGAGGAGCCAGTTGGGGCGCAGTATAGCACCGATGAAATATACAACTTTCTTCTAGTTCTTTAATGCTTCCTCTCCCCCTCCCATTATCATGATCCCAATTCTACCTTACAAATCTGGGTAGACCAGAGAATGTACACTGGTACAGACAAGAGCTCACTACACAGGGAATCCAAGACAGATAAACTCCTCAGGACCAATAAAGGGAGTAGCAATACTAGGACAGTAAGGGAAGTGAAGGGGAGAGTAAGAGGGAACCGATCACAATAATCAATGTATGGCGCCCTCTCCCAGGGGGACGGACAACAGAAAAGTGAGTGAAGAGAGACAGCAGTCATGAAAAAAAAGAGAATCATTTATAAATTATCAAGGTTCCATGGGGGAATGGGGGGGTGTCAAAATGAGGAGCTGATACCAAGGGCTCAAGCAGAAAGAAAATGTTTTGAAAAAGTTGATGACAACATATGTACAGATGTGTTTGATACAATGCATATATGTATGGATTGTGATAAAAATTGTAAGAGCCCCCAAAAATATTTTTTTCATTTTCCCATTTAAAGTCTACAGCTTAGTTTTTTTCTAGTATATTCACTATCAGCACCATCTAATGTTACATCCTCCATCCATCCAAAGAACACTGTAATTGCTGGTGCCTTCTTTTATGCTTGGTTCTGTTGCATTCCACTCTGTTTCATTTTGTTTCGTGTGACTCTTGATTCACTAAACTAATTTCATAAACTTGTAATAGACCAGGTTGAGCACTGAGCTCAGCAGTATAATAATTGTTTTCCATTTTACTCGAAGGTAAAGCATTCAACCTAAAATGATGCTTAAAAATTATTTGTATGCCTCACCTTTCTTGGAAATTTAAAAGTTAACTATAAATTTTATAGTGGCTGAACGTTTTAATAGATGTTTTCATCTCTAAGAGTCTACAAAACGTAATGATTATTAATATTTTATCTCATTATCAAAAAGAGAAGAGACATTTGATGATCATGACAGAAATTCCTGAAAATCTTTGCAGATGTATTAGTGTTAATTACACACAAGCACATGCATATACACAAATTCATACACCAGAAACAACATGGAGAAAAGGCATACATTACAAAATTAAACACAATTGTGGGCATCAACTAACCCACATGGAAGAAGCCCACCAGCCTATGTGATCCAAAGATGACAATATCAAAATCCAAATGTGGTGAAGAAAAAAGTACCAGAGTTTAAATTGTGAACGCCCCATTTGCAGAAGGACGTGGAGGGCAGTCGGAGCCCAAAATCCACCTGCAAAGTATCTAGCTGGAGTAAGCCTCTGGCAGGTCACCTCCAGCCACAGCTGAGGGACAGGAACAGCTTTGCTATCAGACTTAGATTATTGCTATCAGACTTGACCATGGTGAATGGAGCTATGGGATAATTGGGTGATCGATCAGACCCAACCTGAGTTTACTCTAGCTTTTAAGCATTTCTCACTTGTTCCAGGACAGAAATTTTAATATGGCTAGCAGTCTTTTCTTCCTTCCTCTTTATTATTTTTATTTATGTTTTGTTTTTGTTTGTTTTTTTGTGATTCACATTTATTGAATGTACATGACACCTATGTTTCCCAGTTTATGGCATGTGGAAGAAGTGGATGCATAAAGACAAGAACTAAGGCAATGGTGTATGGGATGTGGGAATGGGGAATTGGAGAGCCAATATGAATGTGAGAGGGGAGGGAGTGCACTAGAACGGATGGTTATGATGTATATACAACTGATGTTTAAAGCAACTTAACTATGGAGGTGTGTGATATGGGAACTTTATATCAATAAAATTCTTAAGAAATTAAACACAATTTTGATCATCGTTTCTGCTCACATTCAAGTTATAATACCTGGAGAATCACGCAAGTGTTTCTCCTGCTACAATTGGAAACCAAGACACAATGCATTTGCCTCAAGTATGTCAGGTAGAGAGGGCTCTAATTTGCAAACCCTAACTGTTCCACATTTGATCTGTCCACAAAAAGGAAATAGAGGTGGATAAGCCCCAGTTTGCTTGGTTAAGAATTAATTTAAATACCTCACTGTGGGTACAGGGTAATTTAATTTAAGGATTAATATTCTTTTCACATGTTCTTTGCTGGTTCCAGTAAGACATAGTCAATGCATCCATCAAGTGCAGAGAATAAACGGAACAAATACCAGCAAAATTGTTATATGCATGGAGTCTTCTTTTAAAAAAAAAAAGAATGCTGAGGAAGAAAAACAGAGGAGGTATAGTATTTAATTGGAAATCCAACTAATTTTGACAGTCAGGAGGAAAGTGTGAGCTTGTTTCAAATTGAGTTTTTCAAGGGAAGATATATTCTAAAATTCCCACCCATGTGAGTGTCTAAATGCCATCTCAAATAAATACAAAGCTATAGACTAGCTTTTGCTCCTCCCTCCACTTGTAAATCCAATCCTGACATTTCCATGGAAGCAAGCTAACATCGGATCTCAGAGAAGGTTATCCGGTGTTTCTCAGGCTGAGAGTCACCTATGGAGAATCTAGCTGTTGTTGTTGCTAGTTTGCTGTCAGCACACAAGGTTGTGCCATCTGTGTAGTACAGGTTGTAAGGAGAGACGATCTAGAGGGGGCGGAATTTAAAGAACTCATGCAACCATGGTTCAGAGCCCTGGATGGGTCATGTGCCCAGCATATTCCTTGCTGCTGAGCTGCTGCTCCACTGCGGCAAGGTTTCATGAGAAAAAAGCATTCATTCATTCAGAGAATATTTCTAGAATACTTTCTATATGCTAAGCACTGTTTTTAGCCTTAAGGATATGACAGAGAGCAAGACATGTAAGTTATCTGCCTGCATGGGGCTGGCATTTTCTTAGAAGGAGATCGATAATACCAAGTAGTGAAAAAGAAAGGAAAAGGATCGATTCAGATGATGGCAAGTGCTATGAATAGAAAGAAATGAAAAAAGTCAAAGACATGGGCAGACAGAAGGCTGACTTTACCCAGGGTTGTTAGTACTTCCTGTGGGGACGGCATTCAAGCTGACATCAGAAGAAGCTAGGCTGACAAGGTACGAGGGGGCTTCAAAAAGCTTGTGGAAAATTGGAATCGAAAGATCATGGAATTTTTCCATTCAAACTTTTGGACTCATGCTCATATAAAAGTCTTGAGGCAGGAATGTGCCAGGCATGCAGAGTCAAGGAAGGAGAGGGCCTGTGAGGCCATTCGCGAGAGACCAGGAAAACTGGTGCAAGATGATGGGGAAGTTCATATTTTTCTCAAACTGCGATGGGAAGTATTAATTTCTGTTTTAGGTTTTTAGAGAAAAGCATCTATCATTGCTTTCCAGGTCATGCTTTGTTGAGCCACCACTTCCAAACCTCTATCCTCTAGGAAATATGAATTGCAAACATTTTGCTTCTCACATAGATGCATTAATAAAAGGTAGTAATTTCTTAAATGTTCTCAAACAGCTGAGCTTTTAAAATACTATATGACATACATATACATATGCTATGGTTGTTGTAAGGTGCCATGAACTTGGTTCTAGCTCATGGTAACCTTCTAGACCAAATCAAACTCACTGCCACGGAGTTGATGCCGACCCATAGTGACCTTATAGGGCGGGGTAGTACATCGCCTGTGGGTTTCTAGGACTGTAACTCTTTAAAGGAGTAGAAAGCCCATCGTTCTCCCATGGAGTGATGGGTACTTTTGAACTGCTGAGCTTGCAGTTAGCAGCCCAGGAACCACTATGCCACTAGCGCTCCCTCATAGCCACCTTCGGTACAACAAACCAAAAACTGCCCCGTTCCGTGCTGTCCTCCAAATTTATCCTATGCTTGAGCCCATTGTTGCAGCAAATTTCTCAAGCCATCTCACTGTGTAAACTTCTTTACTGACCCTCTACTTTAGCACCCATGTCGTCTTGCTCCTCAAAGTGGCCACTTCTGATACCATGTCAAGGACAAGAGCAAAGTCTCCCATCTTCATGTCTAAGGGGAATTCTAGTTGTACTTCAAAGGCAAATGTGTCTGTTCTTCAGCAACCTGTGGTATAGTCAATGCTCTTCAGCAACATGATAATTCAAATTCATTTCTTCTGTCTTCCTTACTCATTGTCCTTTCCTTTTTCTACCACTCCTCAACTCCATAAATTACAACCTTTCAAATCAAATCAAAGTAATACGTAGGACAAGGAGGTTGCACAAGTTTATAAGAAAAAAATTAATTTAAACAATGGAATTTTCCCACAAACTTTTTGAAGCATCCTAATATATGTGTGTGTTTATATATAGACTGTTTATGTATAATATATACACATGTATATATGTATGTGTACATGGACACAAAAATGTATATACATAAACACAAATATGCATTATCTCAAATAGCTCGCTAAAATCTAGTCAATTCTGTTTCATAGCAACTTGATATAGGCTTCCAAGATTGAATCTTTACTGGAGCCCTGGTGGCATAGTGGTTATGCCCGGACTGCGATCTTCAAGGTGCATAACCCCCAGACACCCCACAGGAGCAGGATGGGGGCCGTCTACTCCAGTAAAGCATTACAGTTTCATGAGCCCACAGGGGCAGTTGCTCTCGGGTCCTCCAGGGTCAACCTAAGTCAGAATTGACTCAATGACAGACATCTCTATCTATGATTTGTAGGTAGATAATAAAACTGCAGCCGAAGGGACTTCCAAAAGTTCATGGGAAATTTTCATTATCTTTTTTTTCCATGTAATTGTTGTTGTTGTTTTTTAATTGTGACAAAGATATACACAGCAAAATATTCTACAATTCAACAACTTCTACATGTACAATTTAGTGCTATTAATTATAGTCTTCAAAAAATCCTATCATTCAATTCCATTTTCCATAGACTTTTTGAAGCCCCCTCGTGTATGCCGAAATGGGTTTACATCATCATTTTTATGCCCAGAGGAATAGCACTCCCAATTCTGTACTTTGAAAATGACTCAGCTGTCTTCATTAGAATCCTTAATGCTTTATTCTCAGACTTCTCTTAAACACAAAAGATAAAGACATAGGGTTTGATGGTATCTTTTAGTAATTGTCTACTCACCTCATAAATAGTGGCATAGGTATCATTCTGCACAGAAAAAAGAAAGGAAAGAAAAATTATTTAAAGTCTTTAAAGTTGTAAATAAATGTAATGACATTTCATTCCACATTCATTAATTTATTCTAAATTAGCCTGTTGCTGCACCCTGACCTCTTTGGGGCAGAAATGAAGACCAGCAGTAGCTCCAGAGAGCAAAAGGTCAGCGAGCTCCTCCTCTTAAAAGGGCCGCTCCAGCGTCCACACCACCTCACAGGCTGCTGCCCGGCATCCAATGGTACCTCCCATTTGTTTGTTCGACAAGTGTTGGCAGACACCCTGCTATACGCTCTTATTAGGGGCAGGGAATACGGTGTGAAGGAGACACGGGGCAGGACAGGCAGCCCATGTGTTGCGGGTAAAAGATATTAAACAACAAATAGGTACTTAAATTGAAATTTGAGGAAAGTGCTATCAGGGTGAGGTAAAAGTGCTTTTGCAAGATATGATGAATTACTAAGTGCACGTAGCACATCTACCTGCCGTGCTCGATGAGTCGTGGAAGGTTGGACAAAGCTACCTCCCATAAGCAGACACTGCATAAGAAAAACTGAGAGCTATGCATTAGAATCAGTTGATGCCTAATGTAAATATCAGAGCTACCGTTGGACTCATTAATAGAAAACGGTATAGGGAATCTCTAATGCTACCATGATTCTTACCGATTTTATGTCTTACCAGGACAGCTTGAACAATGGTATTTTTTTAATTGTAGTAAGTATCGATTGCAAAATATATGCTCTTTTAACAATTTTTAAATGTACAATTCAGCGACATGAGTTGCATTCCCCATGTTATAGAATCGTTGTCACTGTCTATCTCCTAAAGTTCTTCCTCACCCCATGCAGAAGCTCAGCGCCTCTTCAGCAATTCCTGCCCACTCTCCTCTCCTCCCTTGGTTCAGGGCTACCAAGAAGAGCCTGAGTCACTACTCATTTGCATGTTCCGGATGTGTCATAGCATCGATGTGATATAATATTTTCCTTCTGTGTCTGACTATTGTCCTTGCATAATACTGTCAAGGTTGACCCATAAGACAAGCACGCTTGCAATATTTCAGGCACTCGCCTCAGGACCGAGATCCTATTACTGAAGTACCATCGGGGGAAGTGCCTTAAGATACACAATAAACAACAAAGTCAGAAAAAATAGAGATTTTGAAAGTGACTGGGAGTAACCTGTACCAGGGAGCTTCAAAAAGTTTGAGGGAAAGTACCATGGTCTTTTCATTCCATCTGCCCGCAAAGTTTGTGAAGCGTGCTTGGATTGCTTTCATAAAGCGGAGTCAGCCCGGTGTTAGGAAACTCTGGATTAGATTGCTGCTACGCTCGCTCTAGGGAAATTTTGAAACTGTCCAGAACCCCAGCTATTCAGTGTGTTCACATCCCCTGGCAACTTGTTACAGGCACAGAATCTCAGTCTCCACCCAGATCGACCCAATCAGAATCTGCACTTTCACAACATCCCCAAATATGTGTGTCCATGTTATAATCTGAGAATCAAAGACCTAGAAATTTTAGCTAAGAGCCAACATCTCTTATTCTACTAATGAAGGTTTTTATGGTTTGGAACAATGGGGTTTCCTTAGGCGTCTCCCTGGTGGTGTTATGGTTACGCATTGGGCTTTGATCCCCAAGGTTGGCAGTTTGAACCCAGCAGCAGCTCCTCAGGAGAAAGACTGGACTTTCTGCTCCCGTCAACAGTTACCATCTGGGAAACTCACAGGGAAACCCCAAGGTCACCATGAGGCAGCAATGAGTTTGGTTTTAGAGAGGCATCTCCTAATTACACAGTTTGCATTAACTTATTCTTTGGTCTCCTGTTGCAGTCACGAAATGTATCTCAATTCCTTTTCTATGAGTATGTATTACCGAAGCCGTGTGTGTGTGTGTGTGTGTGTGTGTGTGTGTGTGTGTGTGTCTGACAAGGTAGTAGAAATCCAGTGGAAATTGAAATAAGAATACTCTTAAACAACTTTTCTCTTGAGGAAAATATCAGTATTGAAACAGATGTATACTTACACACTTTAATGGACAATTTTCCTGATCAACTGAAGTCCAAAAATGACATCCTTGGATGCACTGCAAGAAACAATTGTGATGAAGATATGGGACTGTCTCTCATGGCCTTGAACTGCATTCTAGTAACAAAAAGGACTGGCTGTGTTTTGTTAATAGAACTCTATCCAGCAAGGGACTTTTGATCCCAATCCCAGGACCTTTGTGATGCTAAACAAAGCTGTCATTATCTACAGACAGAACAGGGCTTGGTTTGGTTCATTACAAAGAACAAGGGGGCTTTGTGGAATTAAGCCCTGGTTGGCCAACCTGGAACCCAGTAAGACCCAAGCTGTGGGAAGCACCTGTCCCCAGGTAGCTAACAGCAGGCAGAGCCCAAGAGAGCCTGGCATGAAGAGAAATGTTGGCCTGCAGGAGACCCTCACATGACAAGCAAAATTTAAAGTTGAGTACTCCAGAAGAAGGCAGCATGTCAAATTCCACACGGGCCGACAGGTTAGGGAAGTCTGCTGCTCGCCACTGTCTGTAGGGACACGTCTGTGAGAGTCAAGACCATGGACTTGGAGCAGTCCTGCGACACATCACTCCAACAGTGTCCTTGACTTTGTTTTTACTCAACCATGGACTTGGAGCAGTCCTGCAACACATCACTCCAACAGTGTCCTTGACTTTGTTTTTACTCATTCTGTAATTCTGTCTGTTCACTTTTAGAGATTGATGTTGCTCCAGCAAGAAAAAATAAATATTTTACTTAAAAGTTCTCTTTTTAAGTCAAACTTGACTACTGTCCCCCATTTTTATAATCAACATAAACACTGTGAAGTTCTTCACAATAAAAGCCATTACTCACCGATTCACTCAAATTATATGGTGTGCCACTGTCAAGCTGCCTTCCCTGCAATGAAGAAGGGGGTAAAAAACCCAGTTAGCAACATGGCGCTCAGCATGACAACCTCACTTGTTTTAAAGGAGGTTCCTGAACAGTCTCACCTCATCAGTTTTCTAACTGGACAGGTAGGAGTCAAGTGTTTTAAGGTCACTAAATGACGCAAAATAATCACCATTAGTTAGATCTGTAAATACCCAAGAATTCTTCAAAAACTACAAAGATAGGAGTCAGCGTCTGGCTGTAAGACAATAAAAAGTTTCCCTCACAGGACTAAATATACCTGTGGATTTAATCAGTGAGAGATTGTCAAATTAGAGATAAATTATTCAGAGGCCTTTCTTCAGTTAAAGTGATTTTATGAAAAACAGAGAAAAATTAAGAATTGGAAATTTATGAGTGGCCAACATTATTTATTCTGTTTACTTTTCATTTATTCACAGATTCTAAGAACTGCTACACTAGAAAGAATAAAGGCATTGGGATAATAAAGAAATGTAACTATCTCTCATCGTCTCCCTGGAAATTATTTGAGTGACATCATTTGCAGTGCTTCCAGGTAAGCATTTGGACTGGACGGTCAAAGGTCAAACCCACTAGCAGCTCCTTGGGAGAAAGATCAAGCATTCTGACCCTGTAAAGATCTGTTGTCTTGGAAACCTTATACAGGGTCACGATGGGTTGGCTCTGCACAATATGCAGGTGCCACTGGTAAGTGGACAGCAGCAGCACTACTGCCCTTTTCTGGGATCTCCCTGAAGGATGATAGTAAAGGGAAATCCTCCCAATGGGCAGAACTTTGAGTGAGCGCACCTGGCCATTCAGTTTTCCTGGAAGGAGAAATGGCCAAATGAGAGATTTTATGCTAATGGCTTGGCTGGATGGTCAGGGAATTGGAAGGAACATGATTGGAAAATTGGTGACAAGGAGGTGTGGGGAAGAGGTATGTGGATAGACTTGTCTGGATGGGACAAAAAAGTAAAGATAATTGTGTCTCATGTGAACACTCATCAAAGGGTTACATCTGAAGAGGAGGACTTTAACAATCAAATGGATAAGATGACACACGCTGTGGAGACTGGTCCTCCTCTGCCACTCCTGTCATTGCCCAGTGGGCACATGAACAAAGCTGACATGGTGGCAGGGATGGAGGTTATGCATGGGCACAGCAACATGGACTTCCAGTCACCAAGGCTGACTTGGCCACTGCCACTGCTGAGTGCCCCATCTGCCAGCAGCAGAAACCAACACTGAGTCCAAGATATGGGACCTCTCCTTGGGGAGATCCACCGGCAACCTGGTGGCAGGTGGATTACATAGGACCACTTCCATCATGGAGGAGGCAGCATTTTGTTCTTACCAGAATAGATGCCTGCTCTGGATATGGATTTGTCTTCCCTGCATGCAATGCTTCTGCCAAAACTACCACTCATGGACTTATAGACTGCCTTATCCACCGACATGGCATCCCACATAGCATTGCTTCAGATCAAGGAACTCACTTCACAGCTCCAAGCTGGAGCAGCACCACTCAATATTACTCCTAGTGATCCACATGCCGCATTTTTGCTTCATGCCCCAGCAACCCTATGCACTTCAGGCTTGGAGGTCCTGGTCCCAACGGAAGGAACTCTCCCACCTGGAAACACAGCACTGATTCCACTGAACTAGCTGCTGAGAATTCCCCCTGGCCACTTTCGGCTCCTCATGCATTTGGATCAACAGGTAAAGAAGAGTGTCATTGTACTGAGAGGTGTGATTGATCCTGATTACCAAAGAGAAATGGGACTGGTGTTACATAATGGAGGTAATAAAGAATATGTCTGCAATCCAGGAGATCCCCTAGGCCATCTCTTAGTACTACCGTCCCCTGTGATTAAAATAAATGGTAAACTACAGCAACCCAATCCTGACAGGATGTCTAATGACCCAGACCCCTTAGGAATGAAGGTCTGGATCACCCCACCAAGCAAAGAACCATGGCCAGCTGAGGTACTGGCCGAGGGCAAGGGTAATACAGAATGGAGAGTAGAAGGAAGTAGTTCTACCTATCAGTTACGCAATTGCAAAAATGAGGCTTGTGATTGCCAGTATTTCTTCTTTATATGTGATTATTGAATATATTTCCTTTGTTCATGTACAGTATACTAGATATAAATAGATTCAGTATATTTTCATTTATATATATATAGGATAGATATATGATATTAGATGTAAGTGTGATTTTATTAATGTCTGGAAATTATATATGGCTAAAGAATTTTGTACAAGTGCCAAGTTGGCAAGGGATGTACTGTGATAGTTAGGTTTCTCCTTCTGTGTTAGTCTGGGTAGACTAGAGAAACAAAATTCATAAACACTCATATTTTATAGGACAGTTTTAAATAAAAGGTAATTGTCCATTAAGGATTCCAACCCAGTCCAGCACAAGCTCATAGTCCGAAATTAGCCCATATGTCCAACACCGATCTACAAAGTTCTCCTCAAACTCACAAAACACATGCAATGGCACTGAATGCAGAAGGAGAGCCAAATCAGTGAGCGTGTAAGCATCTCAGCACTGGCAGGGGTCTCCACATGGCTTCTCCAGCACCCAGGACTGCATGTGACTTCTCTTCAGGAATGTCTCGCAGGAAGTGAGCCTTTCCAGCTGAGGCAGAGAACTAGCTAAGGCAGCTGCACACTGGTCCCACCATCAGAGAGCAAGAGACAAGAAAGGCGAGGCTCGCTAAGCCATTTATCTCTCTGCCCTTCAATTAAACTGCCCTTAAACAAATCCCACATGTGTTCATCAGCCAGATTGGCACAATAAACCTTAACTACCTCACCTTCCATCTAGGCCAATAGGAACATGTGGGTGGAGTTTAATCAGGTTGCAGCTTGTTTGGAGAGCAATGAGATAAATGGCTTTTCAAGGCCTGCCTCTGTCTCTCTTGCTCACTGGTGACCAGACTATCATGCTGCTGCTTTAGGTAGTTCTCTGCCTTGACCTGTGTGCTACACTACCTGTGGGCCACGACAACCCATGGATCATGTCACTAGAGCTTGAGACTCCTTTGAGACCTGCTTTGCCATGCTCCTGGTGCATACATTGCTTCAGCTTGAGGCTGGTGGATCCTGTCACCAGGGTTGAGTCCCAGACCCCATCACGGCCTGCTTGGATAAGCTCCAGAGCTAATGACTGCTGCTGACCCACCCTGCTGCCTGTGGGCAGACTGCCTGTTTTGCCTGAGGGAAGGCTCCTCTGCTTCCTTGACCTTGGACCAAAGCCCCCTCCATGAGTTGAAGGACTTCCAGTATATTAAGTGTTCCACAAAAGTGAGTTGAAATGAGCACTGTGTACTGCTGTGTGGACTAATTAGCTGTTATATTCCTTCTTGCTCTATAAACCTATCCATATATATATAATCATAAGTGTCCTGGTTTGGTTTCTCTAAAGAACCCTGCCTACACGTGGCTGTGGAATTTTACAGTGGTTTTATCAACAGAAGGGCCTATAAAGGACAGAAATATTGGGCTGTTAGCAAACAAACAAGTACCCAAATGGTGCTACTTGGATATGATTAATGTTTAACCTGTTTCACAGCATTAATTTAAAATTATAAACAAAGTAAAATTATGTGAACATTTCTAGTAACTCTAGTTGATACGGATCAGATTCATCTCTGAGTTAGAACCATTGTAAGAACAATTAATCCAGCAAAAAGCATGGCATTGTCCTTGACTAGCTCCCATTACAAGCATGATATGTATAAGAAGAGTCTAGAATATTCAAAGGGGTTTTACGGGTGGGGGAGTGGTTTGAGTATCTGTACTGGCCTTCTGAAGAGAAGACATTCTATCATTGACACTCTGAGCACTGAGGGGGTTCCCCTCCCCATGTAAGGACCCTCCATTTTGGGCTTCACTCTGTCCCCAGAACCTAGACCAGCACCTGATAACTAATAGGTGTTCAATAATAGTGATATGAATAAATTCTGAATTTAAGGTGGCCTCCCTCCCTCTTAGTAATGCCAAAAACAATCATGTCCTATGAGAAACACATGCAGTGGCCTAGCATGTTGAGTATTTACTTGGGTAATCAGACACAGAAATTAAAGAACTAGTATTCTTAGTTCTCTGTGTGTGTGTGTGTGTGTGTGTGATTCTAAACTCCATTTTTTGACCACTTACATTTAGAAGGAGAAAAGGGGACCTTTAATACTTGTTTGTTTCCAGATAGTACTTGGAAAGAGTTGTAACTTTCTGATAAATTGTGTAGTCAAGTGCTAAATAGTCCTTTACTTCTGTGATTTTGTTCAAAATGAACGTGTTGAGTCGTCTTTCCTCATCATTCATCACTTCGTGCTTTGATCAATGGAACAAGACAGAATGGTCTGCATTTTAACCCCACATAAGTCACTTCATACAGATGCTGTTCCTTAAAAGCGACCTGAGTAGCTATTGTATTCAGTATTCTCCTCTGGAACAGAAGCAGGATACTATTTAGTACATAGAGTTCTATATAGAGTTCTGCGAGGATTCCGTTCAGCCCCACATCACTGTTTATCATAATGTACCACCTTGCTATTCACAGTTTTTTAATGTACATATCCTTGCTTAGTTATACAATAACCTCAATGTGCATGTACTTGAAGGATTCAAGGCAAAGATTCTCTCTTAATTTTGATATTTATCAACTCAATGTTGTGTAGATACATATCCATTTACATCCTGATCATATTATCCATGCTTGGCCAACACCAACCTAACAAAAGGAAAAACACTGTTAACTCAGTTTTACTTTACAATTCTGTGCTTGCTGTAAGGCTGAATATCCGTCACTTCTCTGTAGTTGTTTATATATACATTTCTTCTCGTAGGAAGTGCCTGTTCATGCTCCAAACCTATTTTCCTACTTGTAATGATTTTTAAGTGTTTAAAATGCATAATGTTTCCTTTGTTCATTAACATTGAGTTAATTTCTACTCATGATCTTATTTCCAAGGTACCCCTGAGCGGATTTGAACCATTAGCATTTCAGTTAGTCCACTGGTCACCCATTTGTGCCACTTAGAGATTCCTAGGGATGCCTGTTGTGAACAGTAGGCTTGCTAAAACTGTGTCTATTATGGATGACATATTTTGGCTTTGTTTTTATTGTATTCTGTTCTTTGTCATAGTAGTTTAAATTTCTATGTAGACAGGTTTATCCATATTGTGTTTTACGAATTCTGGATTCTTGAATCAAGCTTCTTAAGGCTTTTCCCACCCCATGATGATAAAAATATTTACCCCTAATTTCTTCCAAAATTTTTATGGGATGAAATTTTATGTTTTGAATTTGTATTAAAATTATAGTTTTAATAACCTCTTATATTTTTCATCTGGAGTGTTGCATAGGTTCATTTTTGTTTCACATGTCTAGTGCCGACCCCACACACCCCCTCCCCAAACCCCCACCCCGTTGATTTGTATGGTTACCTTTATCCTCTATAAATGTCATGGATTCTTACTTCCTTGTTTTCTAGATTAAATTCTGCTTTACTGGAATATCTATTTTTTACATCAATACAAGCAATTCTAATTTCTGCATTATTGTATAGATTTTTTGAATTCGGGGTTTGAAATGTTTATTTTGTTCCATCTAGTTTTAAAGTTTGATCATGATTCACAAGACAAATATTAAATTTTGTACAAATTGTGTAAAATTAGTTTTTAGCAGACAATTCTCTGAACTCCACGGTTGCTAATAATCTTTCAGCTGATTCTTTTAAAATTTAAATGCAAATCAAAATTTAAAAATAGATTGTCACAACCAAATCTATGTGAAGGGGCATGGATGTAGTGGAGACACAAAACCCACCTGTAAGATAATGGAACAGTGCCTCTCAGAAGGGCCACACAATAGGGATGATAAATGCAGGGTGTGGTGTGGCACTGATGAACCACATAACTGTCCTCTAGTTCTTTAAGAGTTCCTACCCTTACTAGTATGGTTTTTATTTGCTTTACCTCATTAATCATGTTAAATTTGTGTATGTTCATTTGTATATTTAAGATCATTCGGTACATGGAAATCAAGACAGATAAACCTCCAGAAACACTATCGGGAGTAATGGTTTCCTGGGGCACAGGAAGAGAGAGGGTGGGGAAATGGGGGACTGGGGAGGTGATAGCATTGATGACTGCAAACCCCACTCAAGGGGACCGAACAACAGAATTGCATGGGAATGGATATATTGGATTGTGTAAGATATGGGGAGGGGGGCTATTATAGAAAAAAATGAATAAGGGTTCCTGGGGGTATGGTGGGGGAAGGGAAGGATCAAAGGGGAGCCAATATCAAGGAGTTTGAGAAGAAAGAAAATGTTTTGAAACTGACTGTGGTAGCAATTGTGAAATACTGCTTGTTGTGTTGAACTGTGGAATGTTATGATATCTGTAAGAGCTCCCCCCCAAAATGATTTTAAAATAATAAATAACTAACACAAATTGTCACAGCCCTTGAATATTATCCAGTCTGTAATATAATACATCATACTTGTGATAGTATTAATGATAGAAATCCTTCAAGACAGTGATCACACAATCAGCTTATTCTGTTTTCCCAATTGCATCCCACCCAGAGCTGAATACACAGCAATTCTCAGGAGTATCTTGTTGGATCAATTTGATATTTCTTTGTTTTTTCAAAGTTTTACTGCATTTTTAATAGTGAGAAATTTGAAGTTACAGGTTGATCTGAGCCAGTGTCTGCTATCAGGTTTAACTGTTGGAAGAAGAACCACTTTTTCTGGTGATGGTGGGGGAGGCGGAGGCGAAGGTATAATTAGCTTGGAGAGCAATTGAGAGGCTTCTTTTTTTCTTGAAAAATCTTCTTGCTTTGGCTTTTTGCATTCTTCTTCACTGCTTGAACTTGGGCATTTTAGTTTAAGAGCCTGTGGATCAGGTGAGTCTGGGCTGTGGTCTCTCCCACTCCATAGAGCAATTTGATATTTCTTATGTAGCATTTCTCCATACTAGTTTCTAAGTTGTTGAGAGACATTGCTCAAAATAAGGTCTCTGCTGCCAAGGAAGTTTGGAAAATGGTGATTAAACAAAGTGGCTAGAGCAAAACCAACATTTATGTAATTTATTTGCTCATGAATATTTTTGTAAAAGATCTCACACTAGCAGTATGCTAGAGAACACTAGCTATTTTGTGTTTGCTGCAGTACACAGCATATAGAATTTCTAGAAGGTTAGGTGAGTTAATACCTGCAGAGCTCTCTCAAGCTCAGAATGATGATTTGTGCACTTTAGACCAATGATGCAAATACTTATCTGAACAGGGATCAGTTAAAAAGAATCTCAAAAAGAAGAAATGCTTTGATATCAAGAACCACTCATTAGTGCTCTGCTAGTGACTGGTGGAATCCCTGAGACCATGGCCCTTGGCCCCCCCTCAAGCCTGGAACTGAACCTCCACCCTTCCCACCTGGAGATCACCTTTCAAAGTGAACAGTAACACCTTTGAGGAAATGTGTTCTTCAGAACCATCAACCACATGATGCCAGAAGAGCAGCATTTGCCCAAGAGCAAAGTACAGAAGGCAGAAAGGGGCAGCAAAGAAAGGCAAGTGGAAATAGAGGACCCAGGGAGAAAGTAGACCGAGGGCGGCTACCCTGAGGGGATTAAAATTCATGTCAAAAACACAATGTGTATAGATCGTTGAATTGGTAATGGGCTGTCTCTGTAAACTTACACCCAAGCTAAAATCAAAGATGACTTTCACAGTAAATATCCAGATTAAAAATGTTAGCACAGGAAAAAGTCCAGAAGATAAAATAAACTCAGGTACTTCACATATGCTCTGTCCCCAAGCCACAGCTACATTCTATGGCTTATTCACCATTTGTCCCCAAAGCCTCTGTGTGGGAGGCCCAGATAGGCAACAATTATGCCATTCACTGGTCAGGTGGGCCGACCAGATCTCTGTTGCCGTGACCAGCACCGTGCCTGCCTCTGTAGGTGGTGAGCGGAAGGCCACCCCACAGAGAACAGACTGTCTATTCCTATTGCCAACCCTGAAATCAAGGAGCCCACACAACAAGAAAAATCTAAACTAAAGTAAAATAAAATGAAGATGCCAATATTGAAAACCATCTAAAATGATTTTAATACTGAGGGAATTAACACCCAGTTTACGGCGGTACATGTGATTAAATACTTGAAGCATATTAAAGATTCTATTTCTAAAAAATACTTTCAGAGCATGGAGAGATGTCTATAGTGTAATCTTACATGAAAAAGTTGGGTGCTGTATATAAAAATCTATATCACAGAAAAAAATTGAAAGAAAAAATATAACTAAAGGCTAATAGTGATGGAAGTATAGTTTTTTCCACTTGCTTTATACTCTTCCCTATTTTATAAATATTTTCTCGATGTGTGTTCCTGTTATTGTGAGAGAGAAACAAAATACTCATTTTTTAAAGGGATAATATTTAGCAGTTGTCCTCTTCCATTTAAAATTTGGAATACAACAATAATAAAAGATGAAAACGTCCATGGCAATCATGTGATCAACGACAATTCATAGAAATGCCAAGTTTTTGCTTTTCTGGAAGTGTTGTTTTTCATAATAAGCCGAAGTACTATTTGTGACTGTGAGTTGGATTAAACCAAAGCTTGTAAACCAAATCAAATTTTCTAGTGTACTACAGAATTTTTATCATTAATAGTTGAGCACAGTACTGAGTATTTTATGTGGTACTCATATTAAAAAGTAAAACTATAAACAGCATCACCTGAGAACTAGCACGCTGTTTCCTTTGTGCTTACATGAGAAGAATGTCTCATTCCCTGGCTAGAGTATATTAAGTTTTTAAAGTTGACACAGTGACTATTTTAAGCATAAGTAAGTCATAATAACTGAAAAGATAGCATATATATATATATAGGAGGCATCGCACCCAGAAGTGAAAAAGAAAATATAAATACCCATCTCCAATAACTCATTACAGAAAGTGTTTAAGGTACATCAATACAATAATACTAAGGAGATTTACAAATAATTTGTGCTTTTAAAACATAATGTCATTTTACACACCATCAGTATCTGCTTCCTTGGTCAAACAATTCCTATACAGCCATCTATCCACAATATAAATGATACTGTTTGCCTGGAACAAGACAGCATTATCCTGTGGCCAAATGAATTTCATGCTTCAAGACAAAAATATAAATGATTTTGTAATAAATGAGTTGAAATGTGGATTTTTAAAAGCATGCAAAATTGATTTCAGCCTAAAATTGGTTTTGTCTCTTTTACTTCCTTTAGCCCTCCTCCTGCCAAATACAATATTTATGACCAGATAATGAAATCAATTACCTTGTCCCACACCAAACATTTTAAATATTTCTACTTTATTTCAGGGGGAAAAGAAAAACAACCTTAATTGCCTTGACACCAGGTCTCATGTAAAATCCCTCAAAGGAAATAATTCTATCATTTATAACAACTTTAAATCCGCATGATCTAAGTCCTCCAAAAGTAAATACTAGGCCAGTGAACACTTACCAGGTTGATCACACATGACTTGAGGCAGCCGTTCAAGACCGTGCCCTGCAGCACAGACATCCATATGGAGACGATGGCTGCAACACGGACACTTTCCAGAACAAGCCAGGCAATGTCCTTCATCACCTCACCACTGGCGGACTAGCAGATGCCCGTCCTGATCATTTTCTCCATTTTGCTATAGAGTTTCTTTGGGTGTCATCGCTTCAATTGAGAAAGCAGCTAGAGGTTTGCGGTTGTTGTTTGAGCATGCTACACAATCTGCGCCTTCAAAAATATTGTTGTCGATCTTCTCATGTAGACCTTTCAATCCAGCATAGCTGTTAACCTTCCCACCACAGCTCTTTCATAACTCCGCGAGCTTCCTTTTACTCCCATAAAAGTCACTTGGTGACTAAAGGTTAGGGCGAGAAGAGCTCTTCACATCGAAAGCAAACACAATGGAGAACGCAAGTTGCATTTCAGCAGGCAGGTGACACCCGTGCCCTCTAAAACTGGAACCCTTTGGTAGATCGGCCACCACTTCCCGTCTCTCTGAGACTGGTTCAACTATTCAGGGACTTGGCTTGGACCAGCTGTGCTTCCGCGAACAGCAGCATGATGGTCCTAAAGGATCGTTGGAAACACAGAAGGGCCTGGATGAAGGGATGCTGCAGAGAGGAAAACAGAACCCTTTGAAGCCAGACATACGTTTTAAAATGAAAACCTAAACAGGGCTGATATTAGTAAACACATACTCTGCAGGTGAGTCAAAGACAAGGAAGTTTGCTAGAACACCCTCAGAACTTCACTACATATTAACTAAAACACTGCCTTATCAGGTCTATTGAGACAGAGAGCTGAAACCAGCCCATAATTGAGACCAAAGATATGTACAAGCGTAGCTGCTTTGGAAAGGAAATAGTATCATGTTTTCAATTAGCCTAGCATCGAGATAGCAGTAAACTGAAACCTAAACAAAGAATTTGAAGTCTGCAAAGAAGTGAGCAATCTAGAAGTTACATTTTTGGTGACTGAGTGTTAACTCTTTAAGGCCAGATATTTTTGTGCTGGTTTGTGTGTGCGTGTACCAAAATTATCAAATTAACTTCCTTATCTCAAAAAACAATACAATTTGTTGTTCCCTTGTCCCTCGGTTTGTTAATGCCACTTCCTTTCCCTCACTTCCCCCACTCCCATGTAGTGAAGAGGGTGTAATAGGCCTGGTAGGGCTTGATCAAGGGCAATGTAACCGAGAGGAATTACTGAAATCCAAATGAAGGCTGAGCATGATAGTGGGACAAGAAGAAAGTAAAAGAAAATAGAGGAAAGAACTAGGAGGCAAAGGGCATTTCTAGAAGTCTAAATACAGGCATGTACATATGCAAATATATTTATATATGATGAAGGGGAAATAGATCTATGTGCATATATTTGTAGATTTAGTATTAAGGTTGCAGATGGATATTGGGCCTCCACTTAAGTACCTCCTCAATGCAAGAACACTTTGTTCTATTAAACTGGCATTCCACAAAGTGGGTGCATAAGCAAAGGTGGTGAAGAAAGCTGATGGTGCCCAGCTATCAAAAGATACAGCGTCTGGGGTCTTAAAGGCTTGAAGGTAAACAAGTGGCCATCTAGCTCAGAAGCAACAAAGCCCACATGGAAGAAGCACACGAGCCTGTGTGATCACAAGGTGTTGAAGGGATGAGTTATCAGGCATCAAAGAACAAAACATCATATCAATGTGAATGAGAGGGAGTGCAGAGTGGGGACCCAAAGCCCACCTGTAGGCAACTGGACACCACTTTACAAAAGGGTCGTGGGGAGGAGATGAGCCAGTGTGGGTGCGATGTAGCAATGATGAAACATACAACTTTCCTCTAGTTCTTAAATGCTCCCCTCCCCCCGCCCCCACTATCATGATCCCAATTCTACCTTACAAACCTGGCTAGACCAGAGTATGTACACTGGTACAGATAGGAACTGGAAACAGGGAATCCAGGACAGATGAACCCCTCAGAACCAGTGGTGAGAGTGGTAATACCAGAAGGGTGGAGGGAAGGTGGGGTAGAAAGGGAAAACCAATTACAAGAATCTACATATAACCTACTCCCTGGGGGATGGACAACAGAAAAGTGGGTGAAGGGAGATGTCAGACAGTGTAAACATGACAAAACAATAAAAATTTATAAATTATCAAGGGTTCATGGGGTAGGGGGGGGGCGGAGAGGGAAGGGAAAAAATGAGGAACTGATACCAAGGGCTCAAGTAGAAAGCAAATGTTTTGAGAATGATGAGGGCAACAAATGTGCTTGACACAATGGATGAATGGTTGGATTGTGATAAGAGTTGTCCGAGTCCCCAATAAAATGATTTTAAAAACAAACAAACAATACTACTAAGTGTAATTTAACCTTTTCATATCAACTCTTAGGATGAGCAGCACATGAGGCTCATTTGGAGCTGGACACCTTTTCTTTAATGTTGGCAAAGTTGGTCTACAGCCGAAAGATAAACACATACTGTCGACAGTATTGACCTCTGGTGTCCTTATCTAGTGTGGAGACAATCTCTGATGATCCTGGCCCAAGTACTAATGGATTGGACCCTTCTGATCCATGGGGTTTCATTAGCTCTAGGGATTTGATCACCAGGAATCACAGCAAGGAGCATCACCTTCAGCTGAACAAGCCCCAGGTACCAGCTAACTTGATGGCTGGTATCTTACCTCAAGCGTGCAGCTAACCAACTTTATTCTAACCAACAATCATCTTTAGGTATTACTTCCTTTTCCACGACTTTACAGTGATTCCCAAATACCTTTGGGGTGGGTGGGGTGGGGAGGTCCCCAACAGTTTTGTTGGCATGTGATTCACATATCCTACAATTCAATAATTCAATCACATCAAGAAGAGTTGTTCCATCATTGCCACAATCAGTTTTAGAACTTTGTCTTCATTATTATAGTCATCGTTAGAGTCTGTAGATTGTCGAGGGAACAGATGGCCCCATCTTTCTCCAGCAGAGTTGCTGGTTGGTTTGAACCAGCAACCTTGAAGTCAGTTGACCAACACATAGTTCATGGCACCAACAGAGACAAAAAAATTGGGTTAAACAAGTTCATCCAAAGTGTTCTTGGAAAAAAATTTAGATTCAATTATTAAAATCTTTAGCCTAACAAATAAACATCTTTAACCTAACTAAAATTCCTATATAGTCCATTTTCCCACTGGATCAATTCTGAAATTAAGAGACCACCTTCTGTGTCAATGGACTGATTCATAGATTCAATCACAGAGCCAGCACTGAGCAGAGAACATAGTTAAAATGTTCCCATTATTCTATGCCTGCTTCATCAGAAAGAGCTCTACAACCGATTATTAAGATAATAGATTTTATAGTAAATAGATGTATGAGTTCCGAAATGAGTTCGTTGAAAATGTAAAGCATACATTTTCAAATTCAGTTGTACATTGCTAGCTTCAGAGAAAATTTTGCAATTCTTGTTTTTTGTTTTGTTTTGTTTCGGGGGTGAGGGGGGTTGAAATTCTTAAGAAGCTCAAAGTACCCAGGCCCACTATAAGCCAGGGCATGCCCTACCACAGAATATAAACTGAACCCTGGACTTGGCCCCCAAAATGAATCGCCTGAGCACCATCAAGGCAACAATGACTTCCTGAGTGGGAAAGAGTTTGCACAATACGTCTGCAGAAGACAAGCCACGTGGACGCAACCAGACCTCAGGAGCTGGAGAAGCCACAGAGAGACCTCTGCCAGCGCTGAGATGTTTCCAATGACACTGGATCCAAAGACTTTCTACCCACTGGCCTGTGATCTTCTACATTCGGCATCATTGCATGTGTTTCATGAGTCTGAAGAGGACTTTATAGATTGATATCAGAAATATGGGCTAATATAGAACTCATGGACTTGATCTGGACAGGGCGGGGATGTTTTCTCCATGTTCAATTGCTCTTGTAGATAAACCTCTCCCTTATATACATATGTGTGTTTATGAATTTGTTTCTCTAGTCTACCCAGAATAACATAACGTCAAAAAGGGATGGTCCCCAATTTAAATTCCTTGCACCCATCTTCATGCATCAGAGATGGACTAATACAGTAGACTCCAGAGAATAAAATTATCAAGTAATTGACATTTGAGTTTCAAAGACCAAAGTTCTAGCCCACAGGAAAAGAAGCCAAAAGCATAACTTAATTTTAGTTTGTGGACTGAAATCTGTACCTACTGTCAAAGTGAAGAGCCTTCATTTCGGCTGTGACCTGGGTGCTTAAACGCAGTAGGGAACTCTTTGCTATTCCTTCCATGAGGTTTGAAGATAGAAATAAACCAAGTTTAGCAGAGATTATGAAATACAAAATCACAAAGTACACATTTGGGTCTTTGGGGCTCTTCTCAGATATTAATTGCCTACCACTATGCAGGTGCTTTTATTAACTTTATTATTATTTCAGAAAGCATTTTTCCTTGCTGCTTTCAAATCTGGTTTTTTGAGGAGCTAAAAGTTCTAGCTGGCTGATTATTAGGTGGTCATTATTCCCTCGTATGTTTAAAAGTTCTGAAAATCAGCTTCATGAAGAATTTGTAATGGTTTGAATAAATATTAATACTATAATTCATTAGCACAATAACACCTATATCGTCTGAGACTGATTTCAATTCTGTGAAAAGAACAAAAACTGCCTAGAATCAGCCAATACACATGCAACATAAAGAAAAATGCAGCTTCCCAAGGGCCCCTGAAGAGCCAAGAGGGCAGAGAGACCACTGAGGGGCATTCTTCTGAGAAAGCACGTAGTCTTGAGTGGGTGATGAGAGCAGGTCAAGGGGGCAGAGACTTTGACCAGTGAGAGTCAAGCTCCAGAACTTTTTTCAAGTAAGTCACAAATTTGGAAAGCTCGGTGATCCTAATTAGAACTACATCCAGTCCTCCCTTATCAACAGGGTTAGGTTCCAAGGACAGGTTGTTATGTGAAATGTATCATTCTGTGAAAATGGAGGATTGCCACAGTAGATCACAAAATGGAGATTGATTACATCATTACTGAGAATTATAGAGCAGCCAAGTTGACACCTAACATTAACTATCACATCCATGGTTACTTTCACCTTGTGCCGT